ACACTTCTGGTTCTATGTTTTGATCTTCTTTGTCACCAAAGAAAGATTCTATGGTCTGACATTTTTTGCACAGGTTGGTCATGATCCCAGCCAATTACTTGAGTTTTAAACTCTTTATTAAGGTAGGGGTCTGCTTCCAGTGTGGAGAATGTACTGTCACAAGCTTCAGGGGTTTTGTGCAGCTGTTTTCAGGGATATGTCTAGGGACCTGTAAATTTTCAGTCTTTCCAAAGTGGTATGATAAGGGGAGACGTGTTTACTCCTTTCCTGGACTGTCCTTTGGTCTATGTGTGACCACAAGCACTCTTTTCTGCCTTGGAACTGTGAGGAGGATTTCATCTTTACCACCACTACAAACTCCACCACACCTGCACTCCTCCTTGCCCCAGACCCGCCACCCAGAACTGTGACCCAGATCCAAGCATGAGCAAAGGAAGAGCATCCTGCACCAGCAAAGAGATCCCTACAATCTGCCCCTGATCAGTCACTGCATTCCCCCTCAGTCTATGGGCTGTAATTTCCAGAAGCAGCCACTGCTTTGGGGTTGCACACAGGGACTAGGATTGGGATCGAGTTTGTCTCTCACCACAGTCACAGACTTTTCTCACTGACCTTCTAAGTTGTCTTTGGCATTCATGGGTTTAGAAGTCTGGGAACCACCACAGCTGCATGTAATTCAGTCCTCTGAGGCCTGCTCCAAGTTCACTGACACCTGGTTTCCCTGTGTGCCCAAGCCAAACTGCGTTACTCTCCCAGCATGGCATGATATACTTTTCTGACCAACCATCCAAGTTGTCTTAGTCTAGGAATTTGTTTCACTCTGTCTTTCTGTGGGGTCTGCTGCTTTAGAATTTGTTTAGAGCTGTTTTTCACAGGTATTTGGAGGGGTTTGGGGGAGACTCAAGCAAGTCACTGCTTTTACTCCACCATCTTGGCGCCACCCCTTCTGTGCAGTTGGTTTTTTAAAACCCAAGTAGAACATATTCAATTGCAGAAACCTCTCAGTTCCAGGTAAATGATTCCTCTGTTCTGGAAACACATGGTAAGAGTAATTGGGAGAAGATATGGCACAAGATCCTTGGATAATGCTAGAGTGACTCACCTGTACTAATACGGGAGTGCCACTTCCCATTGAAGATGGATTACACAGAGCACTAGGCATAGTCACTATTCACTGTTGTGCAGTGCTCATATTTCACATTCTTATAGATGAATGGAAAGGCCCATGCCTTGAAGACCTTTTCTAGAGAAAGGATCAGTGTTGGTTGAAATTAGGGAAGGTCAGGAGTACAGGCCAGGAGCCAAAGGCATCTGGTTCTCAATTATCCACTCCTCCAAAGTTCCTCAGCCACCTTTGTTTTCTTACCCCATATGCAGACTGCCATGGTAGTTGAGCCTTGAATGTGTACACCCTCAGAAAGAGTCCAGGTCTGACAGATCTGAGAGGTTTATTGAAGTGGAGGGCATATGTTAGACTTGGTGGGGACAAAGCCTCACTAGATCCCCTTCTAGATGAAGAAAATATGGCCCAGAGAGAAAGGAAAGAACATACATGCAGAGAAAAATCTCAAGTATTGGGAGTTGTTTAATGGCCCTTGAGTCAGGAGACCCGAGTGTGAAGCTCATGTCTGATATCTACCACATGTGACAATGGATGAATCATTGAACTTTGTAGAAATTGGGTAGTAACAAACAGTCCTGTTGAAACTTCAGACCACTCCATAAGAGGAATATCAGAGCTGGGAGAAGCCTTAGAAAATCTAATCCTATCTGGGGTTTCCTGACTCCTATTTCTGTACTTTTCTTCCACAAATACTTACCCCACCCCTTCCACAAAAGTTGGAATTATGAAGAAGGGCACATGATATGCAGTGTAGGGTGAAACACTGGAAGCTCATAGGTCAAGTTTGACCAAGCCATGATCAGGAAAGGGGATCCGAGGAGTAAAAGATGGGAAGTGCCTGTCCTAGACCCAGGAAAGGAACAAAACCAGTGAAAAAGCATTTATGTGCTTCCTATGTGCCAGACATTACATTGACTCCTGGGGATAAAAAAGTGACTCAGCCCTCAAGTAGCTTATGAATTACTGAGTGAAGACAACACAAATAGAGCAGTGGTGGTCAGGGAGGATTACTTTAATCAGGGAAGTCACAAGGATAATGAATGGAGTCAGAGAGCAGCAGATTGCCAGGTCCTCACTTACCTCAGCTAGGTAGGTGGCACAGTGATTAAAAATCTGGGCCTAGATTGAGGAAGATGAGTTCAAATTTAGCCTCAAACACTTACTAATTGTGTAAAGGGAGGTCATTGCACCTCTCTTTTCCTCATTTGCATTACCTCTAAAATGCAGAGAATAACAGTAGCTACATCACAGGATTGTCATTTGGCTCAAGTGAGATAATATTTGTAAAATGTTTAATACTCTATCTAGTACATAGTGGGTGTTTAATAAAGATTTATTCTCTTTGACTTCCTTCTCTTTACCTGGTTTGATTTATATAGTCAAAACATGTCTTAAAGGTCCAAGCTGGTAAAAAAATATGTTGATACCACTGAATTGGGGAAGAGCTGAAAAGAATTTTAAGTATGAATGAAATGGTAGGTGATAGAGCCATACAAAATAAGGAACAGAAGGATTTAGATAAATGTAGAAAGGGTAGAAAGAGGTCTCCCCCTTCTGCGTCTCATGTGAATTTTTTCTTTTTGTGTCTTAAGAATTTCATTGTGGTGATATTTTTAGGATTATGCTCAGCTTGGCATAGTAAATCATCTTTGGTTGTAAGCCTATACACTTGGCCTTTTAAAACATTATATTCCATGATCTTCATTCACTTATGACAGAAGCTACCAGGTCTTTTGAGATCTTGATTGTAGCACCATGGTTCTTGAACTCCTTTCTTTATGTTTATAATACTTTTTCTCACATTATGGGAGCTTTATATTTTGACCATCACATTCCTGAGACTTTTTCTTTTGAGGTTCCATTCAAAAGATTATCAGTATTCTATAATCCTTATCTTCCTCTCTTTCCTTAATCGTTCTCAGCAGTTTCAACTTATGATTCCACCAAAAACAGTACTCAATCTTGGAAATAAAAATCACGAATTTCTAGGAGTCCAATGATTCCCAAATTCTTTCTCCTTGATCTGTTACTGGTCAATTTCTTTTTAAATCAGATTTTTTATATTTCCTTTTGTTTCAAAATCTTTTGATTCCATTTTAATATCTTTTGCTGACTTGTGGAGTAATTGAATTCTATTTGGTCAGTTCTAATTTGTAGGTATCTACTACCTCATGCCATGCAAATTTAAGGAGGAATCCAGGTAAATGAGATGGATTAGAATGTCTTATTGATATACGCAGCTAAATGCAGCATAAGACAGAACAGCCATTTAACTAGGGTAAGAGTGGAATATGGCTTCCTTTGCCTCCCCCCACCACATCCCATAGGAAAATGATAAGTAAGGTGCCCTCTCTCATTGAAGAGCTTCACAATAAAGTTCTTTTTCCATTAATTTATTTTGATTTATCAATAATCACCTCCATACACTTTTGAGTTGAAAATTTTTCTCCCCCTTCCTCCCCACCACCCTCCCCAAGATGGCACATAATCTGATATAGGCTATACATTTACAATCATAGTAGATATACTTTCACATTAGTGATGTTGTAAGTAAAAATTAAAACCAATTAGGAGGAACCATCAGAAAAAGGAAACAAAATGCAACAGAAGAGAAAAAAATAGCAATTTGACTTCCACAGTTCTTTCTTCGGATGTGGATAGCATTTTCCATCACAAGGGTTTGGCGATACTTAGATCCTTGTATTGCCAGGAAGGGTTAAGTTTATCAATATTAGTCATCACACAATGTGGTTTTTCTTGTGTACAATGTTCTCTTGGTTCTGCTCACTTCACTCAGCATCAGACCATACAAGTCTTTCCAGGTTTTTCTGAAGTCAGCCTGTTCATCATTACTTATAGCACAATAGTATTCCATCACATTCATATACCACAACTTGCCAGCCATTCCCCAGTTGATGGGCATCCTCTCAATTTCCAACTCTTTGCCACCACAAAAAGAGCTGCTATGAATGTTGTAGGTCCTTTTCCCGTTTGTGTGATCTCTTCAGGATATAGCCCTAGAAGTGCTATTGCTGGGTCAAAGGGAATGCACATTTTGATAGCCCTTTGGGAATAGCTCCAAATTGCTCTCCAAAATGGTTGGATCATTTCACAACTCCATCAATAATGCATTAGTGTTCCAATTTTCCCACATCTTCTCCAACATTTACCATTTTCCTGTTTTGTCATGTTGGCCATTCTGATAGGTGTGGTGTGGTACCTCAGAGTTGTTTTGATTTGCATTTCTCTAATCAATAGTGATTTAGAGCACTTTTTGTATGCTGGGCTACTGCACTGCTGCACCCTGTCTTTCTTCTGGTTCAGCTGTTCTAGGGTTTTTTCTGGGGTGATATTTTCTTGGTTTTCAGAGGTTGATAGGGGAGGGTGAAAGTGACTACCTTTTTACTCTGCCATGTTGGCTCCCGGAAACAGAATCCCCCACAGTATTGGTTGTAAGCAAACCCCATCCTCCTTCTGCTGATTTCCCCTGTTTGATGTCATCCATCTTTCTTCTGAACCCCTTAAAATCTACTGACCCCAACTTTTGACTAAATACAGGACTAAGCCCACACTCCCTCTCCGTACTCATAAAGTATAGGCAGAAGTGGTCATTTCTCCCCTCTATTTCATTATTTCCTCTTTAGCAAACAATTCCTCTAAGTGAGAATTAAATCTAGGAGAGTGTGTCCACTTATTGGTTTCTCTATATTTTGGAAGATGAAGGTATCTCTATAGAAAATCAAAGAGTCCTTAGAACTTGAAATATTTCTGTAAATTATTTGCTTAACTTTGTCCAACCCTGCTTTGGAAAATTTCCCAGGAATTCAGAGTTCATGGTTCTTTTGCTGCTCTTACAATCTCAGTTTTGGGTCACCAAGGTCCAGTAGTATAAAACATTATGCTTTCTCCCAGTACTGACTGGGTGAAGACAAAGGTGGTCAGAGATTGGACTACCCTTGACAAGGAGTTGAGGACAAAAGTCTCAGCAGGCAGAATTCAGGTGAGACTACAAAGAAGAAAGCTCAGAAGCTTCAAACCTCATACTACAAAGACATGTCATCAGAATACATAAAGTTTGAAGGAATCTTGTTCCCCAAGGGTTATAGTATAAAGCACCTCAAATTTTGTCGGGACGAGTTTGTGGTGAAGAATACTGATGTCATTGTTGTAACCTACCCCAAGTCAGGTAAGAAACAAGGTTGGGTCCATGGGGAAGTGTTTTGGGAGAAAAAAACCCATAATGGCTGCCCTGCAGTGTTATTCAAGGTTGCAGAATGTGAGAGTTGAAGGGGATTGTGGAGACTATTTCTCCTAAGTGATCAATTTTTTCCCCAAGTGATCAATTTTAAGGGAGAAGTAAATAAATGTAGAGAGAGCAGAAAGACAGTCAATTTAACAAGCATTCATGAAGAACTGGCCATATTCCAGGTGCTGTACTAGGTAGGACAATTTCAGTGCAACTTGGGAAAACTTGTGTGACTTGATACAGAGTGAAATGAGCAGAACCAGGAGAATAGTTTATACAACATTAAAACATTGTAAGATTAATCAACTTTGAAAAACTTAACAAATGTTGAATGCAGTGACCAATCATGATCCATGAAAACCAAATATAAACTTGACTACCCCTCCTGTCAGAGATGATGGACCCAGGATAAAGAATGAGATATTCATTTGGGGGTAAGAACTGTGGGGGAATTTGTGTAATGTCATTATGTGTACATGTTATAAAGTGGTTGTTTTCTTTTTTTTAAGAAGGGGTTAGGGGAGGTCTGAGGAAGAAAAAACAAATGCTCATGAATTTTAAAAGATCAAATTTAAATTCATTGGTGAATTCCATGTGAAACTGCATCTATCTCTTCAAATAATCCCATTTTCCTCTTTATTGGGATTATTCCCCTCTTCTTCTTCACAATTAAATTCTTGAACATCTTCCACCCTTCTTCTGCTTATTTCTTTTGAAGCATTTTACTCCATGGGCTTAATCTTATGTCTTTTGCCTCTGAATACTGTGAAAGCTGCTCCACCAAAATCTAGGGGACTTGTCCGACTGTGCCCAGATTTCCTTTTCTTATTGAGAAAAAATGTCTGGACTCTGGAATAGTCACTTCCCTCCTCCCAAGATTCCCATCATTTCTACAAAAGCCACTAGTTCTTCTCAGTTAGTGAGAATTGGATCCGGAAGAGAATTTCTCTCTCGGTTGATCCAACTTTTGAGGGATGAAATGACCAAAAGACAGTTTCATAAGTTGTTAACTACTGTGCTCTTGTGAGAGAAAGAACCAAAACATATCTGAATATCTGAAATCTTCCTTCAGTACTATATCCTCCCCTTAACCCAGTCTCAGGATCTATTTCTCAACACTCTCATCTATTTCTTCTCTCTTTCCAGGTGGTCTGGAGAATGTAGACATTAGTGACAAATTGTTTTTGTTTCTCCTTCTTTTGGCCTTCTCCCAAATGCCCTCCATTAGGCTTCCCCCATCCCACCTTTGGTCCCTGCATCTCCTAATATGCATATACCTTCCTAATATGCAATACCAGTTCATCCTCAGATTTTACATATGCTGTTTTCCTTAAATAATGTATACTCACATAAAGCCATGGTGTGATTTGGGTTTCCTCCCAAAAGGTGTTCAAGACATCAGCTAGGTCCATTTTGACCTCTCATATCATGGCCTCTAGTCCCTTCTGCTTGTTGACTGAACTTTGAGTATTTATTTATGAATGAACTCATAAGGCCATGTACTTTACTAATAGCTCCTATCTTGGGTTTTGTATCCTCTGAATTTATGGCTATCTCAGCTGCTATGCTTCTCTGATGCTACTCCTATAGAACTTAGCTTAAGGAATATGTAGAATATATCTTTTTTTCTTTTCTCATCCTCTTTATCATAAAGTCTTTTTAATTAGATTCACAAGACTAGTAGTCGGTTAACCCTATATCATAGGCTGTGATGCAGAGAGTCAGATTTTATTCTTCTAAACCAACAATTCATTTTGCAAATTATTTTTTCCCTTTAGGGTCCCTTACCTTTAATATACAATTGTAAAGGAAAGACAGCCAGTGCTCTTATGCTCTTTACATTCTCGCCTAAGATTTTGCAATCATTGAGAATCTTGTTTAGATTTCTTCTGGCAGAGTTGTCTAATTCCACCTGAATTATCTTCAGTGAATAGCTGTCATCTATTTGGATAAGTTTTGGGACATTCTCCACCGTGGTTTTGAATATGCAACCACCTGCAGGTAAAAGACCACTTTGTTCTTGCTTTCAGTTTGTCAAACAGTTTCTTCTCCACATCTGAACATGGAATCAGGGACTTCTAGTAATCTTCTCTTCTTCCTCTACCCTTTTATAAATTAGCACAGATGTTTTGTGGCTTTCCGATAACAATGTTGGGAAGACAAAAACCTTCTTCCCCCACAGAGTATCTAGTTCTCTCTTCAGGAAGAGGCTCAGATTCATTGTCTTTCTCTCTTCTCCCCTACTTCCTTCTCTTCTCTGTCACCCATGGAAATGAGGCTTTGCACTTAGATATCACATGCAAAAGAGTCCATATTAACATACTTTCTCTTTTCTGTTCTCTCCATTAGGAACCAATTGGGTCATAGAGATAATCAGCCTGATCCACAGTAAAGGGGACACCACCTGGGTCCAATCCATCCCCATTTTTGAGCGGTCCCCATGGGTAGAAGTAAAAGCAAGTCAGCCGTTGCTTTGCAAAAAAGAACAAAATGGGCCGCGGTTTTACAGCAGCCACCTCCCCATCTGGCTGTTCCCCAAATCCTATTTCCAAAGCAAGGCCAAGGTGAGCAAATGAGGACTCCACTCAATGAGGTGGATACTGCCATGATAATATTATGCAAGGAGAAGGCTAGAAAGTGCATTTCTGATCTGTGTCTTTTGAGGCCTGAGAGGAAGTGCAGGCAACAACAGACAAAGAAGCAGAAGCATTTCCTGCCCCCTCCCTCTTCTCTATGACACGCCAAGACAACATCTTAAATACATTGGTTCTTTACTTTATTCCTCTCTGTAGGTCCTCACTGCTTATGGGTTAAAGTGCAGAATCATATTGGTGTCTCCAAAGTTATCTACAGTCTGCTTTTAAGCCTTGAATGCACATTAACTCTCTCTACTCACTATCATTCATTAATTCAACATTCCAGACATCATTCCAAATGGCTTTCCAGAATGGTTTGACCAATTCATTGTTCCATCGGCAATATATTAAGGTGCCTGTTTTCCTAGATTCCTCTAACATTTTTTTCCCTTGCCTTTTTTTTTTTAAGGCAATTGGGGTTAAGTGACTTGCCCAGGGTCTACATTTACTGCTAGTAAATGTCAAGTGTTTGGTCTGAGGCTGGATTTGGACTCATGTCCTCCTGACTTCAGGGCCCATGCTCTATCCACTGTGCCACCTAGCTGCCCCAAACTATCCCCTCTACCTTATTATTTTTTTTTTGACTAGACAATGGAGTTAAGTGACTTACCTAGGGTCACATAGGTAGTAAGTGTCTGAGGTCACATTTGAACTCAAGTCCCCCTAACTCCAGGGCTAGTGTTCTATCCACTGCACTACCTACCCGCCCCCCACTGCACCACCTAGCTGCCCCTAACATTTTTAACCTTCTAGGAAAATTAAACTAACTCCAGTTTATTCTTATGTATCTTGTATGTGCATAGCTAGTTTTTTTTTAATTTCCTTAATTGCCTTGTTGAAAAAAAAAAGCAAGAAAAAGAAAATGAAAAAAGGTGCTTCAATCAGCATTCAGATTCCATCAATTCTTTCCATAAATTTGGATAGCAATTTTCACACTAATTCCTTGGGAATTGTCTGGGATCAATGTATTGATTGGAATATAGCTAAGTCATTCACAGTTGACCATGGTACAATGCTGCTGTTACTATATAAAATGTTCTCCTGGTTCTACTTACTTCACTTTGAATCAGTTCATTTAAGTTTCAAAAGATTTATCTGAAACTATTCTGCTCTATATTCCATTGAATGTGAGTAATTTGCTCTGAAGTTCCTCTGCCTTTTTGAAAACTAGCCTGCTCTTCTAGGAATTCTTGGTTTACGTACTGCTGAAGCCTAGCTTGCAGAACCTTAAATATACCTTTCCTGGCATGTAAAATGAGCACTTTTTTGTGATAATTAGAACATTCCTTGGCATTACCCATCTTTTAAATTGGGATGTAAATGATCTTTTCCAATACATTAGCCACTGATGAGTTTTCCAAATTTACTGACATACTGAGTGCAAAGAAAAAGATAAACAAATGGGAAAATAGGATGGAGGGTAATGTACAATGATCTAAACTATGAAAAAAATTCATGACAAGTTTCTGTAACAAAGGCCTCATTTCTCAACTATATAGAGAATTAAGATAGATATATAAGAATATGTCATTCCCTAATTGACCAATTGTTAAAGGATATAAATAGTTAGTGATCAGATGAAATAATCAAAGCTAGGTGTGCTCATGAAAAAATGCTCTAAATCACTATTGAAAAGGGAAATGGAAATGAAAACAACTTTGAGGTATCACTTCACATCTATCAGATTGGTCAATATGATAAAAAAGGAAAATGACAAATGTTGGAATGAATATGGGGAAAATTGAGACATAATGGTGTCTCAATGTTGGTGGCATTGTGGGCTGATTCTAACATACTGGAGAGCCATTTACAACTATGCCCAAAGGACAATAAAACTGGGCATACCATTTGACCTAGAAATACCACTACTAGGTTCCAAAGAGATAAAATAGGAAAAGAATCCATACATACAAAAAGATTTATAGGAACTCTTTTGTTGTGACAAATAATTGGAAATTTAGGGGATGACTATTAACTGGGGGATGGCTGAACAAGCTGGGTAAGTGATCATGACGGAATACTATTGTGGTATAAGAAATAATGAGCAGGATGCTCTCAAAAAAAAAAAAGAAAGAAACTGGAAAGGTTTACCTGAACAGTTCCAAGGTGAAATGAGCAGAGCCAGGAAAACATTTTATATAGCAACAGCCATATTTTATGATGAACAAGCTTGAATGACATAGCTATTCTCTGAAATACATTAAAACAAGACAATTCCTAAGGACTGAATGATAAAAAAATACTACCCACCTCCAGGGAAAGAACTGATGGAGTCTGAATGAGGATGGAAGCATATCTTCTTACACTTTCTTAATTTTTTTTGTTCTGGTTTGCATTTTCTTTCACACATGACTAATATGGAAATACGTTTGGTATGTCTGCACATGTAAAACCCATATCAAACTATTTGCCTTCTCAAAGACGGGGAGAGAAATGAGAGAGGTAAAGTGTTTGTAACCCCAAATTTTTTAAAAAAAATGAATGTTAAAAATTGTTTTAACATATAAGTAGAAGAAAAAAACTAAAAAAAAGTTCTTTTCAGGTTGAAAGAGCTTGGTTCCAGCTCTTGAGCTTCAATAATGTGACCTGGAGTAAGGTTCTGCCTTTATTTGACTGCATTTGTGGACTGCCTTTATCTTTAGCTATTATACCTAATTAGAAATGGGAATTGAGGGAGGAAAGTGACTTAATCATTCACATTAACCTTTTTTTGTTAAGATGATCAAAGATTTTCAAATCTCATAAAGAGACATAAGGGGAGAAACCATCTTCTTTACACATTTGTTTATGCACAATCCATTGACTGATTTAATTGAGATTTCTGGTCCAGTAGTGATTGCAGGAATTGGAGTGGGGCTAAATCCAGCCTTATACTTCTGCAAGGAAGTATTCATGCTTATTGACATTTGTCAAATTCATAATGAGAGAAAGGAAATTTTAAATGTTAAAAATAGATATGTTCTGAAGTTAAAGACTGGCTGAACGCTGAAGGATTCTATTTCTGGGACAATGTCAAACCCAAACCCAAATGTATGGGCCTAAGTTGTTTTAAGAAAATTCACCAATTACTCCAGAAAAGAAAGAGACTAGGAGATATAACACAAGGATTGGTAGAACCAGGAAGCCAGAAGGAGAAAAGGTGCTATAGAGGGGTCACAGTAAAAAGTAAGTGGATAAGGAGGAAAGACCAGTGGATGGGTAACATGAGGTCATTGGTCACCTCAGTAGGAGAAGGACAAATCTGTACCAGAGAAATAATTAAATGTAGGCCACTGCACCAGAATTTAGGTTAGGAATGTGTGTATGAGAAGGGGAGACAGAGACTATAGAGTTCCTAGTGGAAGAAACTAGTAGTGACCAGAAAGAAGGTGTTAAGTAAGTAGTTAAAAGGAGCCAAATTGGCTTTTTTTATAAAATTTGGGTGGCATGGAAAGGTTCAATGGCCTGGGCAGCATATAATAATCCTGATTTCTATTTCAGATAATTTACGTCATGCGCAATCCTAAAGATGTGATTGTTTCTCTTTATCATTTTACAAAAGTGCTTAAATGTTTTGAGACAGCGGAAAGTGTTTCCCAGATGATTAAGATGTTCTCTCAAGGAACTGGTGAGCAGACCAAGAGTTAGAATCTCTTTATTTTTGCAATAAAAGCCACCTCTGTTTCTGGAGGGATATTTTGAAGACAACACATGAAGGAGGCAACTCTAATACTAGCCCCATTTTGTGGATGAGTAAATAGACACAGAGGCTCATTTCTCCCTTTTTAAGTAGTTACAGTCTCCTCTGTATGGATCTCATTTCTTTGCCCATCACACTGTACCTCATGTTATGCTTCTATGTATGCCCCTGATGCATTCCCCCAGCCAGAGGTAGTCTGGAATTTCCTACCATTCATTGCATCTAAGGAATTTTATGCCATGAATCAATAGGGCTATGCAGTCCCCATATTGGAGATGACTGGTCTAGAACATACATCAGCCTTATCCTTGATGAAAAATCATAGTCCATATCATTTAAAACTGAAAAGTTTTCAGGAATTCAGAGCCAATTCACTTAACTTTACCTAAAAGAAAAGTACAGTCCAGAGAAGAGGAAGGACCTAGAACCACAGAATATCAGAGTTGGGAGGGACCTTGAAGTACAACTCACTCATTTTTCATTTGGGGAAACCATGGCATACCGATAGGAAGAGATATTCCAAATGTGACAGCATTTTTAAGTGCTTGCTATGTCCCAGGAACCGTACTAAGCACTGGGAATACAAAGAAAGGCAAAAAATAATAATCCTTGTTTTTAAGAATCTTACAATCTAATGGGGGAGATAAGATCCAAACAGTTACGTACAAACAAACTATAGACAAGCTAAATGGGAGATGATCAAACAAAAGGCACTGTCCCCTTATGGAAGATCAGGAAAGGCTTCTTGTAGAAGCTGGGATTGTAGCTAGGACCTGATGGAAGGCAGGAAATCCAGGAGGAAGGGATGAGGAGGGAGAGAATTTCAAGACTTGGGGTCAGAGTTTAAAAATGCATGGAATAGGGCAATGAAGGGTCTTGTCTGAGGAACAGCAAGGAGGCCAGTTTCATTGGGTCACAGAATATGTGGGTGGAAGTAAGCAGTAAAGAAACTGGGAAGGTAGAAAGGGGCTAAGTTATGAGGTTAAACAGAGGATTTATGTTTGATTCTAGAGAAAATCATAAGGAGTTCTTGGAGTTGAATAGGGTGGTGTTGGGTAGGATGATGTGTTATGAAAAATTCAACCTGATCAGACTTCTGCTTTAAAACAAATTATTTGGAGTTTGAAGAGGGCAGAGTCAAGATGGCAGAGTAAAAGCAATGACTTGCTTGAGATCTCCCCCAAACCCCTCCAAATACCTGTAAGAAATGACTCTAAACAAATTCTAAAGCAGCAGAACCCAAAAAAATGCAGAGTGAAACATACTTCCAGCCCAAGAAAATCTGGATGGTTGATCAGAAAGGTATATCATGCCAGACTGGGAGAGGAACTCAGTTCAGTCTTGGCGTGCAGGCCTCAGCAAACCTGGAGGAGGCTTCAGAGGACTGAATTATGGGCAGCTGTGGTGGTTTCCAGACTTCTCAACCCATGACTGCCAAAGACAACTTAGAAGGTCAGGGGGAAAAGTCTGTGTTTGCAGTGAGAGAGGTAAGTTCAGTCCCAGCCAAAGTCCCCAAGTGCAGTCTTGTGGCAGTTGCTGCCTCAGGAGCTTCTGGCCCATAGACTGAAGGGGAATCTAGTGGCTGATCAGAGGGGGATGGCAGGGATCTCTTTGCTGGTGCAGGATTCTCTTGCTTTGCCTGTGCTTGGATCTGGGTCACAGTTCTGGGGGGTGGTCCTGGGGCAAGAAGGAGTGCTGGCGTGGTGGAGTTTGTAGTGGTGGTGGAGAAGAATTCCTCTTCACAGTTCCAAGGTAGAAAAGAGTGCTTATGGTCACTCTTAGACCAAAGCACAAGCCAAGAAAGGAGTAAACACCTCACCCTTGATCATAGCATCTTGGAAGAACTGAAAATTTACAGGTCCCTAGAAGTATCTCTGAAAACAGCTACAGAAAACCCCCCAAGCTTGAGACAGTACATTCTCCACACTTGAAGCAGACTCCTACCTTAACAAAGAGTTTAAAACTCAAGTAAATGGGTGGGATCATGAGCAAGCAGTGCAAAAAGAGTCAGACCATAGAATCCTTCTTTGGTGACAAAGAGGATCAAAACATACAACCAGAAGAAGACAACAAAGTCAAAGCTCCTACATCCAAAGCCTCTAAGAAAAATATGAACTGGTCCCAGGCCATGGAAGAGCTCAAAAAGAATTTTGAGAAGCAAGTAAGAGAGGTAGAGGAAAAACTGAGAGTGACACAAGCAAATCATGAAAAACAAGTCAAGAGCTTGCTAAAGGAGACCCAAAAAAATACTGAAGAAAATAACACCTTAAAAAATAACCTAACCCAAATGGAAAAAGAGGTTCAAAAAGCCAATGAGGAGAAGAATGCCATAAAAAGCACAATTGGCCAAGTGGAAAAGTAAGTCCAAAAGCTTACTGAAGAAAATACTTCCTTAAAAATTAGAATGGAGCAATTGGAAGCTAGTGACTTTATGAGCAATTAAGGCACTGTGAAACTAATTGAAAAGAATGTAAAAATAGAAAAAAAAATTTGAAATATCTCATTGGAAAAACAACTGACCTGGAAAATAGATCCAGGAGAGAGAATTTAAAAATTATTGGAATATCTCAAAGTCATGATAAAAAAAAATCCTAGACATCATCTTTCAAGAAACTATGAAGGAAAACTGCCCTGATGTTTTGGAACCAGATGGCAAAATAGAAATTGAAAGAATCCGCCCATCATCTCCTCAAAGAGCTCCCCAAAGGAAAACTCCTAGGAACATTGTAGCCAAATTCCAGAGTTTCCTGGTCAAGTTGAAAATATTGCAAGCAACCAGAAAGAAACAATTCAAGTATTGTGGAAACACAATCAAGATAACACAGGATTTAGCAGCTTCTGCATCAAGGGACCAGAGGGCTTGGAACATGATATTCTGGAGGGCAAAGGAGATAGGATGACAACTAAGAATCACCTACCCAGAAAAACTGAGCATAATCCTTCAAGGGAAAAATGAATATTCAGTGAAATAGAGGAATTTCAAGTTTTCTTGATGAAAAGACCAGAGTTGAATAGAAAATTTGACTTTCAGACACAAGACTCAAGAGAAACATGAAAAGGTAAACCAGAAAGAGAAATCACAAGGGACTTATTAAGGCTGAATTGTTCACATTCTGCATGAAAAGATGATATTTGTAACTCATTTTTCCTTTGTCCTTTGTCAGTATTAGAGTAGTTGGAGGGGAAAAAATTGCATGTGTGTATAGATAGATAGATAGAGAGATCGATAGATATATAGATAGATAGAGAGCACAGGGTGAGTTGAAGATGAAGGAGCACTATCTGGAGAATAAAATTAAGGGGTGAGAGAAGATTATATGGAGAGAAGGAGAAAGGGAGAGGTAGAATGGGGTAAATTATCTCACATAAAACAAACAAGAAAAGTCTTTTACAGTGGAATAAGTGAATCTTATTCTCATTGGATTTGGCTTAAGGAGAGAATAATATACACACTCAATTAGTTATGGAAATCTATCTTACCCTACAGGAAATTGGGGGGTGGGGTAGGTGACAAGAGAGCAGGAGGATGATAGAGGGGAGGGTAGATTGGGGCAGGGGATAATCAGATGCAAACAATTCAAAGGAGAGACACACTGAAAAGAGAGAATAGAATAAATGGGAGGCTGGATAGGATTAAGAGAAATATACTTAGTTTTTCACAACATGACTAATAAGGAAGCGTTTTTCATGACTACACATGAATAACCTGTATTAAGTTGCTTGCCTTCTCAATGAGGATAGGGAGGGAGGGAGGGAGGGAGAAAATTTGAAACCCAAAGTTTTAAAAACAAATGTTAAAAACTTATTTTCACATGCAACTGGGAAATAAGAAATTCAGGAAACAGGTTATAGAAATCTCTCCTGCCCTGGGAAAATTGTGGAGGAAGGGGATGAGAGAAGGGGAGGGGATAGAAAGGAGGGCAGATTAGAAGAAGGGGTATTCAGAATGCATGCTATCTTGGAGTGGGGGGAGGGATGAGATGGGGAGAAAATTTGAAACTCAAAATCTTGTGGAAGTGAATGTTAAAAAGAAAAAAATTAATTAATTAATTTAAAAAAAAACAGCCATTTCATAGCTGTTCTATGTTTGTTGCCTTTCCAAGACACTTCATTGTAGCAGAACTCGGGAACCAGTCCCATGTCTCATGACTCTTAAATCCAATGCTCTTTCTCTTAAAACATGGCAAACTTCAAGTTCTAACCCCTGTTCTAGACATGAAAAGTCACCTCCTCCAGGAAACTTTCAGTGATGCTCTCTCCCTTATTTAAAATTGATCACTTACTTAATGTGATCTTCCAAATTACTAATTCTGTGGCTCTCTTGTGGAAATTCTTAAATTTTTTTAATTGGAGTTATATATCTCATCACTCAGTCCTGCCCCCATTTCCAACCCTGAGGCCAAGGTCTTCCTTATTTTTCTTTACATTTTCCCAAATTTAACATGACACATAAAATGTCTACTGTAGTCATGTATATGCCATTTATTACCTCTGAAAACTTGGACAAATCATTTACCTATCTGTCTCTCAGTTTCCTAATCTATGTAACATGGCTAGTCTACATGGCTTTAGAGGTCCTTTTCAGCTCTCGAGATACGTTCTCATCTTATCCCTTTGTCACAAATACCTGAGCAGTGCTAGCCTCAAGCAAAACCTTGTGTGTCAGTAGATCCTGAGTCAATATTTTGTTATTAAATGAAGTATTATTGAATGTGTAACTGAAGGAACACATCTGGTCAAAGGGTCTCCCTTCTATTCTCCCTCTGCAGTGCCATTTGGATCCTGGTTTGACCACACCTGTGGCTGGCTATCCTTGAGAGGGAATGAAAACTTCCTAATTTTGACCTATGAAGAACTTCTGCAAGTAAATGCTCAATCTTCCCTTTCTTTCCCCTCATCTTCATCTTTCTTTCCCCTTATCTTTAATTTCCCTTACCCTTCTCATCTTTTTTCCTCTACTGTTCCCTTCAATTGGTCTGTCCACACTCCTTAGAAGCTGCACTCTACTTTTCATATCTATCCTATCTTTTGTCTCCATCTCACTTCCCTGATGTACCTTTGACTTGTAAAATAGAAGAGCAGAGAAACTTTTGGTAGGTACTGTAAGTACTATTTGGGCTTTCCATAGGTCCAATGAATTGGAAGAAAGGAGGTAGAATATTTTTCCTTTTGACTAAAATTACATAAATACAAAATACTTTTAAAAGAAACATAATAAATGTAGGGACAAATGAGAAGGAGAAATATTATAGTTAATTTTAAAAATTTCATTCCAGAGTGAGATTTAAAGAAATATAATCACCTAGGTACATTTTGATAGCTTTCCCATTAACAATAAACTTTTTTCAATCAAAGAAAAGACTAAGTCAATTGTTTCACATTTAGTAGAACCAATTCATTTGGGCCTTCCTGGTGGTGACCAACATGCCTAAAAAATACATTTATTAGTTCTTGGTAACTTCTCCTCTTGAGCTCAAAAATTGCCAATTCCCTCTCCCTGAGCTTTTAATCATTGTTGCAGGTAGGTTTACCCAATATTCCCATCATGCCTCATCAGTACAAGCCTTTCTTCCTCTCCTTGATATACTTTCCTTTCTTTCTGGACCTGCTCCTCTTTCACATTTTCTATGTTTTCTCCATCTTCTTTTTCCTCTCTTTTCTTTTAAAACTCTGATTCCCCCTCCTTCCTTTCTCCCTTCTTTCCTCTTTTCTGAAGTCCTTTTATTCAACCATAATCTCCTATCTTAACATCTCTCCCTATGCTTCACTCCTGAAACTGTCCTCTTTGCTGTTGAAGAGGTTTACCTTTGCCCCCTTTCCCTGTTTGCCCCTTTTCAAAAGGAATTTGGCTCCTTTGTTTACAAATCCCAGAAATATCTTAAAACATTTAGATTCTCTCTTTGAAATCTTATTCAAAGGCGCTTTCCTTCCTGACCCCAAAAAGAACCTGGCTTCGGTTTGTCTACTGGTCCCAGGAAAACCTTAAAGTTTTAGAAACTGCTTTGATTTCCCTTTGAAAGCAAACTTCCCCTTCTAGCTCCCTTCATCATCTATTCTCATTGTCTGTTCAGATCTCTCAGACATTCCAAATGGAAATTCTCACCTGGACCCTTCCTCTTAATCACCTCCCCCCTTCAACTCGCCTTGCATGTGGCTACACCCAATCTGCCTTCCATTGTTTCACCTTCCTATGGCCTTTGGTCACTTCTCACCCTTAATCCTAGCTAGGCACCACAAGGTCCAGGACCCAGGAGTTCTGTTCACCCCAATTTACTAGCCACTTCCATCCAGATCTCCTTAGACCCCTCCTACCCTCACTCCAAACTGCTTGGCCACTCAGACCCCTCCCCCAGTCTTTCTGTACTTAAGTTTCACCCCAGCCCCCATTCACCTGCTGAGCTGTTCTCAAGCCTAGAAGCTGAGACCCCTCACACTTGTCTTCACGAGCATCATGTGGCCTATCCACCCCAGGCCCCACTTAGAGGCTGGGAATTTCACATGCCCCTAGAGGCTGAGACTCCCACACCCACCTGTCTTTCCAGGCATCACCTGGCCTGGCCACCTTAGTCCCCCGGCCCCATTCAGACGCTGAGCTTTTTTCATGCCCAAGAGGCTGAGACTGCCTCATGCTGTTGCTCATCCTTACGAGTATCACCTGAACATCTTAGCCCCCATTTAGATCACTGATGTTTGGGTTCCTTGGGAGTCTGGCCTATATGCTTTATCTTTATCAAACTTTTTCTCTGGCTGGAAGAAGATCTGGGTTGAATTCACTCAGGCAGATTCGGCGCCGCCATCTGGTGCTTTTTTCCCAGCGTCCCAAAACTTCCCGTGATCTTGGGGTTCCTCTGTGCATCTAGGAGCACCCAAAAACCCCTAACCTCTTCACTGAGACCTTAAGTCTTTCCACCTATAAGAACTCTCTCAGGGCTTCATTCTTTATCTGGTTTGTATTTCTACTCTTCCATATCTTGAATTTATCATAACCAGTTGACATTAGATTGTCTTCTACTCTCAAATCCCATGCACCTTTGTCCTGTTATCACATACACGTTGCCAAACACAATTTCATTCCTATCATTTGCCTCCTACAAATTCATGGTTTCCAATCAAAACTAATCTCCCTCTATAGCATCACAATTCTTTTATTCTTTCATAACTGATTCTTTATGGCACTCCTCACCGTGACTTCCCTCCTCATTCTTTCCACACGATTAATCTCTTATTCTCTCAGCAAGAGACTTGGCCTTATGCTTTACTCTAAAAATGAAAGCCATTTGCCATGAACTCTCCCTTTTCCCCTCCTCTATAACTCAAAAATCCCTTGAAATCTTCCCCCCTTTACTTTATTCTCAGATAAAGAGGTGACATTTCTTCTTATGTACTGCCTAAATTGTGCCTTTGTCTCATCGTCTTCAACAGATAGCAACTCTCATCTTAAATCTCTGTATCTACTGATTCATTCTTTGCTTCTTGTACTTAATCAGTCATTTAACCCTGTCTCAGTTTCCTCATCTGTAAAATAAGCTGGAGAAGGAAATGGCAAACCACTCTAGAATATTTCTTAAGAAAACCTCAAATGGGGTCATGAAGAATCAGACACAACTGGACCACTTGACCAAACAATGCTTCCTACAAAAACTCCCATATGTTCTCCACTAGCAAAGACAAATGACTTCATCCCACCATGCAATTACTGAAATTTATGCTGGGTCAGTCTGAGTGACCCCTTTGTTTGCAATATAGCTTGGCTTTAGGGGTATGTGACAGCCAGAGCTTCCAAAATGGCAGTGGGTTACCCTTTCATCCCATTGTTTTATCTCTAATCTCATTTCCCTATGATGTGGCAATAAGGGAAAAGCTTTGATTAAGCTATCTCAATCCATTTTAAGAAAAGTGCGCACATCAGGAATATCTTTCCCTTATATTCAAACTGGTCTGGCAGGGCAGGTGGGGGTAGTTGGTGGTTTTGAAATTCAGTGCCTAGAAGCACTCAGGATTCTCCCCTGGATGTACTTAACAAATCATTTTTATTTTTCCTTCCTGACTTTGCTTCCTTATTGAGGACAAGTCCTGAACTCATATTTTCTTTTACTATTCTCAAATGTCTTCTTACAGCTCTTCTGTTTCTCACAGTCAGGTTCCTAGAAAAAGTTGTCTCATCTTGTTTCTTCCTTTTCTTCTACCATCATGCACAATTCCCTCTCAGAAAGCAGACCCTTCCTGCTCTCCCCAGCTGGTAATGTGTCCTCTTTAAAATTATTTTTTATTTTGCATATAATTTGCACACTGAAATGCTTTTACAATGTCATCCTAGCACCCCTCAGCATATACATTTGTTGATATCAAGGACTGTTTTTTTTTTTCATTTTATTCCTAGTGATGAACACAATAGTTGCTTAATCAATAGTTGATGATTCATTATCTCCTTTTCTTCCTTCCTCCAACTCTTCTTAGCTCTTCTTTGTCCTTCCCCTTCAGCTCCTCTTCATCTTCCTTTCCTTCTTCTCATCCTTCCATTCCAATAGCCTCACCTCCTCTTCTTCCTTTCCCCCTTTCCTTCTAACTCAACTTCCTATTCTTCTTCCTCTCCTATTCCTTTATATTTCCTGGGCTCTTCCTCTCTTCCCTTTTCCCTGTTCTCACCCCTCTCATTGTCTTCTTATCCCCTGAATCCTATTCATTTTGATTCTTCCCTGCTAATTGTTGGATTTGCCCACCAATTCTTTCCCTCATATTGAGAAACCTTTCCATAGGATCTTTGGGGAAATGTGGAAAAGATTTGTCACTTCCTGGGAACAAAGCTGAAGGAGGAAGAAGTCAACTTAGTGGTAAAGAATGCTTCCTTCTCTGCCATGAAAGCCAACAAAATGTCCAACTATTCAATCTTGCCTGATGAGATCATGGATCACAGCCAAGGAAGCATGCTAAGAAAGGGTGAGTAGGAGCCCTGGAGATAAAGGAGCAAAGTTGGTGGGTGTCTTTCCAGAGTTTTGCTGACCAAAGCAAACCAGACAAGAGAGTCTGGATCTAATAGTGAAGGATGAGAGAAAAAGTGATCAAGATGTTTCTTATATAGAAAGCAAGTATCAGAGAGCATGATAAGCCACCCATGTATGGGAGGCAAAGGTAATACAGGAACCTATCACATATTTACTCTTTTAAGGAAGACCTATTCTTTTTTGGGAACTATAGTCCCCAAGTCAGATCTGAGCATCCCAGGTGTCACTGCTGCCCCAGTATTTACTCTGATTGGATGCAGGCATTTATATAATAATTGGTGAGAGGCTGAAAATGAAATGGCCTTTAGTCACATAATTCCTAGTCCCTGAAGACCCAAAGTGTGCCATCTTCCTTCAGGTTTGTCCTGAACTCCTGGGGTGGTGTCTAATGGATCTAGGACAGTCTCTCAATTGGGTTTACGGGTGCTCATCTGAGGAAATGTCCTGAAGTCAGAATTTCTTACATCCATAGCTGACCTCTTTTCCATCCATCATTCTTGTCTTGAACTTTTTCACTAAATCATCACCAGAGATGATAACTGAGAGTGTTTTCTTGCCTTGTAATCAGGCACAACTGTCTCAATCGATTCTTGGCCACTTGGGTCAAGCAGTAAGTCTTCCTTTGACTAGCACTCTGACATGTTCCAAATAGTCCACCATCTTAATATCTAGGAGGGTTTTAAGGACTTGAACAAATGATTCCTGCTCATTTAACCCCAGCCTCTCCCTCAAAACTGCATATCCTTCCTACATAAGCATTCCAACATGGATGTCAGAACATTGAATTTTCAGGAAGTGGGTGAGGTCACACAGAAGATCACTGAGGAAACTTCCAATTCTGTGCCTTGGTTCCCTCTACTCCTCTATTATTCAGTTGCACACCCCAGGCAAGAGTCATAGGGTTCCCCCTTTCGAAGATGGAGAGAACTTCCTGAAGACAACTACCTGTAGCACTCCCTCTCTACAGAGTCCTCAGTGTTGTTAACTGGCTTTTTGACAGTTTACATGCAGGATGTAACTATTTTAGCTGCCAAAGAGGCATTTCTCTGCCTCTCTCTCTTGGCCAGAGCACTATAGCAGGCTTTTATCTGCATGTACTGGAAGTGCCCTGGCTAGATCAGATGCCCAGTGAGGCTTCTTTTCTCCTTCCCTGAAAGACCTTTGCTAATCTTATTGATCACCATGCAATATTGCTGTTACTTTGTGCAATATTCTCCTGATCCTGCTCACTTCACTTGGAACCAGTTCATATAAGTCTCCCAGGTTTTTCTTCAACCTCCCTGAACATCATTTCTTATAACACAATAATGTATCATCAGATTCATTTACCACAACTTATTGAGCCATTCCCCAACAAAAAGATATCTCCATTTTCAATACTTTGGCACAACAAAAAGCAACTATCAATATTTGTGTACATATAGTTCTTTTTCCTTTTCCTTTAATCTCTTTGGGACACAGATCTAGTACTGGTATTTTTGGGTCAAAGGATATACATAGTTTTATAGCCCTTTGACCATAGTTCCAAATTGCTTTGTACAATGGTTGGATCAATTCACAACCAACAATGCAATAGTTTCCCAATTATTCTGCATCTTCTTCAATAGTCCTTTTTTTTTAATTTTCGTTTATCTGATAGCCCTTGGGTGATGCCCTACAGTTACTTTAATTTGCATTTCTCTAATCAATGGTGATGAGCACATTTTTAGTATCAATATGGAGAACTTTGATTTCTTCTTATGAAATCTGCCTGTTTATATTCTTTGAACATTTATCAACTGGAAAGTAATGAATATTCTCATCAATTTCATTCAGTTGTCTATATATTTTAGAAATGAGGTTTTTATCAAAGAAAATTGCTGCAAAATTTTGCCCCAATTTCATGCTTTCCTTGTAATCTTGTCTGCATTGGTTTTGTTTCTGCAAAAACTTTTGTTTTAATTTAATGTTATCAAATTTATCCATATTGCATCCTGTAAGGCCGAATGTCTCTTCTCTGATCATAAATTCTTTCCTAATCCATAGATATCAGTAGTAAAATTTTCCATCTTTTTTTCACTGGCTTATGATAACACTCTTCGTGTCCAAATCACATACTCATTTGACCTTATCTTGGTATTTGGTGTGAAATGATGGTATATATCTAGTTTCTGTCAAACTGCTTTCTATTTTTTTTAGCAGTTAGTTTAAAATAATAAGTTTTTTGTTACAAAAACTAGGGTCTTTGGGTTTATATAACACTAAATTACCATGGTCATTTGCTACAGTGACTTGTGTCCCTAATGTATTCCACTGATCAACCAATCTATTCTTAGTCAGAACCTGACTATTGTCATGATTACTGCTTTGTAATACAGCTTCAGATCTGGTATGGGTAGGCCACATTCCTCCACATTTTTTTTAGATTAATTTCATATTCTAGACTTTTTTTCTTCAAGACAAATTTTGTTATTATTTTTATTAGCTTTCAGGTAGTGCAATAATTCAATTATCTCTCCTCAATCTATGCTCTGGATAAGTTGTTTCTCCAATGAGAAACTTCATAATTTTCCTAGTTTTTTAATTCTTTTGACTTTTTGTTTGTTTCTTGAAGTCTCATGGAGACATTCGATTCCATTTGTTCAATTTTAATTTTTAAGGATTTTTTTTAGTAAATTGTTATATCTCTTTTTCCATTTGGCCAATTCTGCTTCTTCAGGACTTCTCTTCAGTGTAGTATTCCTCTTTTACCAAGTTGTTGAATCTCTTTTCATAATTTGTTTTTTGCATCACTCCTTTCTTTTCCCAATTTTTCCCAACACCTCTCATATGGTTTTTAAAATGGGGCATGTTGTCATTCCTTCTACCCAAAAGAACAAACCTCTCTACAGCTGTGTTAGGAAAGAGGAATAGGTCCCAGAGGGCCTTCACTTACATTAGGGGAGATTTAATCAATCAATCAATGGAATGACCAATGGTAATCCTCCTTAGCCATTTAAAAATGGCCTCCATAATAAAGGTCAATCCCTCAAATTCCCACACATTGACTCTTTCCCTTTAATGAGGAAAGAGATAAAGCTCTCTAAGAATGGAAGTTGTTGTTTATTCTTTGCTCTTGAAGAGGACCATGACGCCAGGAAGGTGATGCTATGACTTGCAAGTGAATTGGCCTTAAGTGAGGCAGGGCTGTGCAAAATCACCAGCCTTACTTTCTCCTCTGGAGCCATCTGGGTCAAGTGGCAAGATATAGATCAGGATGACTGGAGATGGTCCCCTCTAGGAGTAGAATGAGCCTGTCCCAAACCATCATCTGACTTCTTGTCTCCATGTCTGGCAGGAATTGCTGGAGACTGGAAGAACCATTTCACAGTAGCTCAAAGTGAAGCCTTCGACAAACTTTTCCAGGAGAGGATGGCAGAACTAGACCAAAGGCTGTTCCCTTGGGAGCAGCATTGAGGAGCTGACAACTTGATGTTACCTTCGATTCCACATGTGATGGATGACTGGGCAACTTTACCTAACCCTGATTCTAAACACTAGACTCACTGGGTGAAAGTAGCCATGGTTAAGAGCCACTTGGCTATTTCAATCATAAGAACAAAATCAAGGCTCCCCCTTAGCTTGTTTGCCAATAACTCCCAGACCTAAGGCAAAGACAATGATTTTCTTTCCACTCCCTTGGCCTTTTCCCTGTCCCAAATCATGGTGTACGTTAAAGTGACGGAGTCCTAATAGAGCTGCCCTCAGCCCCAATATTCTAACTAACTTATGAGACCCAATGAATAACAGGCATGTCATGATTTAACCCCACAATCTGGCTTTACACACATCACGGACCCCCAAAATCAATCATAGGCCTCACTGAACAGCTAGTCACTGCTCCTAGTTAGCCATTACCCCTAGACTCAATCCTCTAGCTAGCCTCTTCCCTCAGATCCAATTTACATATTTCCCACAGAAACAGGTGTGCCCATGGACTCAACCTCAAGCACATCATCCATCTTGACCAGATAAGACCATAATAATTAACCACTCAGAAAGCAACACTACCAGGATGTAGTGCAGGATGCTTGACTACCACACCATAGAAGGGGCCCACCCTGAGATAGCACCCGAGCAGTAATGGTAAAGAATTGACCTATAGTGAACTTATGATGTAGAGAGGCTTATTATAATATCATTATCATACATACATGCCCCCCTATTTGGAATTTTTTGTATGCATTCTGGGTAACTGGATGCACAGTCCCACAGAGGCTGGAACCCCTTCCCCATTACCTAATCCCTTAAAAAACTCCTCCTGCCTTTTTAATGTTATTTACATTTCTGTATTCTATATAAATATTGATTGTATAATCAGCATCATATACTCTATAAAATTGTCTGTCTTGCCTTACTGGAGTTGCTAATTTCTCTAATGAATGTTGCTACTCACCAGAGCATGAAACCTCAAAACCATAATAAATCTTTATAACTGCTTGAAGTCAGCCTGACTCTTTGAATTCTTTAGAGATGCTCGCTTGCCCCTCATCAAAAGGAGTAACTGGCAAGATGAGTGAAGACCATGATTAAACTAGAATCAATTTTTGGCAGTCCACACCACAGGGCTTGATTATTTTTACCTCTTCTCCTTGTCTGTGCTCTGGGTACTTGACAGCTGGTGACCATGCATCGATGTATGTTTGTTGTTGTTGTTGTTATTGTTATTGTTGAGTCATTCAAGTTGTGACTAACTTTTCATAATTTCACTTGGGGTTTTCTTGGCAAAGATACTAATGATTTGCCATTTCTTTTTCTAGCTCATTTTACAGATGAGGACACTGAGGCCAATAGGGTTAAGTGACTTGCCTGGGTTCACATAACTAGTAAGTGTTGGTAGCCAGATTTGAACTCAGGTCTTCCTGACTCCAGGCAAAGTGTTATATTCACTACACCACCTAGTAGCCCATGTATGCCCTTTGTAGAAGGACACTTTTTTCAAACTACTTCCTGCTTACGTCTATAGTTGAGATTCTCCTGTATGCCCATCCCAGAAGTCAAACTTAGAAAATCACATGCTATTGGAACAAGAATAAACCTTTACAGTAGTCATCTCAGCTGATCCCTCTTCCCCATAACAGCCTTCAGGTGTTTGAAGGAAATGGTAATGATCCTCTGGTCCAAGAATCCATTTTTCTTTGCAAAAATGCCCAGTTTTCCAACAGAATCACATGAATGTATTATCTGCCCCCAACCTCTTATCTTCTCCCCTTTATGCTCCAAGATGAGTAATGTGTGAAGACTCTCAGCTGGGTTTTTCACAGGAAAAGGGAAGTGGTGAGAGGGGCCACATAGAAGAAAGTAAGGAGAGTAGGGGACAATGGGGGTTACTGGCTGAGATGAGAGAAGTATGATCATAAGTAGAATGGTGTAAAAAGATAGCGAGGGGAGCAAGACTCTGATGGAAAGAGAGGATGATGGTATAAGTGGGGAGAATTTGAGGTGGATGAAGAGAGTAAGAATAGAACAAGAGGTAGAGGGTGGAGGGTTGAAGAGTAAGAATGGGAGCATGCCTGAGGAAAGTTAAAAGGATTATAATATCAATGGGTAGAGAGAGGAGAGAGGAGAAAGATTAGGGCTTAAAGAGTAGGTAAGAATATAAAGAATGATGAAAGAACTGAGAGGAGGATGTCTAGAGCTGGGTTACTAAAAAGAAGGGGAAATATAGGAGAGGAGACAAAAGGTGATTGATAAGGGAAGGGGGTAAGAATAAGGAGGAGGTTGGATGAACTAAGCATAATGAAGGCAGCAAGGAAAGCAGGAGGAATGAAGAGATTAAAGACTTTGAAGAGATGATAAGACTGTGATGTGCGTGAACATGGAGGAGATGATGAAAGGACTACATTTAGAAATAGAAATGAGCATTCAGAGAGGAGCAGAGAGGCTGAGGAAAGGGAGGAGTTGGGGAAGAATGAAGCAGGTGAGAGGTGGGCAGAGAAAAGAAAGGGTCAGAGTGAACAGAGCTAGTAGAAGATTTAAGTGATAGAGAAGAGTGGAGAGAAAGGAGGATGAAGCTAGGGAGAGTAGGGTATGTGGGGACTAGTAATTCTTCAGGGAGATGGCAAGGAGAAGAGAAATGAAAGTGAAGGTTGTGACAGAATCAAGGCAATGGAAAGGTCAAGAAAAAGGGGGGAGAGAAAGAATGTGAAAGAAGCAGAATGAGATCACAGGGGACAGCCTGGAGGATAAGGAAAAGGGAAACACTATGAAGCATTTGATCCATCAATGAAGGTGAAAGAGTGAAGAGAGTGAGGATAATGGTATAATTTTACCCCTGTTTCCTGCTGATGTGAAGAACCTGCTTTCACTCTAGGGGAAATCTAGCTTCTCTGGCTTTTTGTTCCTTTCCAAATAGTCTTAGACCTTTTTATGTCTCACATTAGTCATCAATTCCCATCTTAAATGACTGGCTGTGGAGGTAAAAAAGTTCACTTAAGAAAATAATTCCTTAAAATTAGAATTGGGAGAATGAAAGCTAATGACTCCATGAGACTTTGAGATGGAATAAAACAAAATCAAAACGATAAAAATTAGAAGAAAATGTGAAATAGTTCTTTCAAAAGACAACTGCCATGGAAAATAGAGGAGAGAATATTTAGGAAGTATTGGACTACCTGAAAGCCATGATCAAAAAAATAAAAACAAAAAGATTAGACCACATGTTCCATTAAAACAACAAGGAAAACTGCACAATTAGGAGAAAGGTGTGAATGCCCTAAATACCAGTTCCTTGTCTGCACTGGCCTCTTCAAGTTCAATTGAGCCATTGAAGCCTCAGACTCTTTCTAAGGGGTGGCATGTGTCCTTCAGATCCGAAAGGCTTGCCTTTTATACATGATTTTACTTCTTGTGATCTAGAGCTTTGAATAATCTCAAAGGGAACAGATCATTACCTGGTGCTGTAAGGTGTGTAAAGCATTTTTACATACATTATGTGATTTCATTCTCACAGCAAGTCTGTGAGGTGGGTAATATTGAGAACATTATTCTCATTTTTATTGGAGTATGAAATAGAAGATCAGTCAGGAAGCAAACATCTATTAGGAGCTTACTATGTGCTAGGCACTATGCTAAAAGTGAGGATAAAAATAAGGGTTAAAAAAGGCCCCTATAATCATCAAGTGTACATCCTAGTTGGGTAGGAAACGTGAAAACCATAAATATACATGATAGGTACAGAGCAGATGAAAGGTAATTCTTAAAATGGAAAGCAATAGTAGCAGGGGAATTGACTGTACACCTTCAACTTCTTACAGCATTCGCAGGCACAGTAGAGCTCCAAGACAAAGCCACTATATGGATTTCTCTCAAGGTTATCAATGTCTTTCTTCTAACTGTGTTGAGGCATCCATGCTACTCTGCCTGAAGCTCTCAGCTACCAATAGATGGCAGCTAACACCATCTTCTCCTTGTTGCCTTTTCCCAAGGCACCTCTTCTGCTATCCATCCTACCTTCCCCAACACTGACTTTTGGAATCCCAGATCCTCATGACTCATCTGAGGTGCCATTTTCTTCATGAACCTTCTATTAATTCCCACCTAGGAATTAGTTAAATCTCTTCCAAAATTGCCTTCTATTAAATATATATATTTATGTGTATATATATATATACATTATATTTATATGTAACATATTGCTCTGGAGCCACTATTCTTATTTCCATACTCACTGAAAAAATCAGTGGAGTGTCCCCTCAAGCCTGCCTATCTAACAAGACTCATCCCATCTAATATAGCTCACAAGCCCTGACCTGTGTGCTTGTGTTTCCCTTCATGATCATCAATTGATATCATTTAGTCAGCAGGATGAAGTTAGCTTTGAGAAAGGTGTAGTTATCAAGGAGTTATAGTAAGAACAATCATTACAAATGATATCCCTAAGTCTTTGACACACTCTTCTACCTATTCATAGCTTCTCTAGCCCCTGGACCCAGATAGTTCCAGAGGAGAAAGTGAGGCTGGTACCTTTGCACAGCCCTCCCTCACTTAAATCCTATTCATTTGGAAATCATAGCATCACCTTCCTGACGTCACAGTCCTTTGAAGAACAAAGGCAAACAACAACAACCCATGGGGAGACATTTTCAGTTCACACAGTGGCTCATCTGAGACTCTACATTGATAAAGGACTTTAATGCTTACTTGGAATGCCTTTGATTTTTTCTATTAAATCAACCACCTGGTTGATGTATCAGGGCAAACCATTTTATCATTAACTTTGGGTGGGATAGTTTGATCGATTTATTCAATTGACCAAATACACTTATTTCTTTCTCCCCAGTTTTAACGAAAATCTACTGGCTTACTTTTGCCAAAGTCTCTGCTTACAAACATTGGCTTGCTCTTTTCTCTCCAGCCTTAGTATCCCCTGCTATAAAACACAGAATTGTGACATGATAGTCTCTAAGGTCACTTCTTGCCCTAAATCCTCTGACACTATAGGAATCATCAAAGAATCCCTGAGTGTAGGCAGGCAGGAAAGAAGAAAATTAGAGCAGAAGGAAAAGGAAGGTCATAGTACCACCTATGCAAAGAAAGAAGGAGAGGGAAGACGCCTGAGTGCGGGGTTCATCTCCCTATTAAAATACGTGCAAAATTCATTAATATTGAATAATAATAATAACGTATTGAATAATATTGAAGTATTCAAAGAATGGGTCTTCCTGATTGCAAACCCACTGCACCACCTAGTCGCTCTCAGAAGTAAGGATATCTCTGATATTTATGGCTTAAAGTTCATTATCCATTAAAGTAAGGGTAGCAGGAAGGGTAGCATTAGTATTGGGATAAAATACAGGGCAAAGTTAGGGAGAGGGGTAATAAACTGAGCATTGACAAAGGTAGAAGTAGGGATGATGTCAGTTTTGGATGGGGGGACGTAACCAGCTGTAAGAGTAAGGGAAATGCTCAAGGTGCCCATGTCAGTGATCATATATTCAAGGTCCCATTAGGGATAGAAAAAGAAGAATAGATGAATAAAAGTTCCTTTTTCTCTCCAAGCAGCAAGTCTATGGTTTTCTCCTTACTTATTTTTCTCTCTAGATTTTACCTGGCTTGGGCTGTTTCTGGCCAAGTCTGAAATGCAACAAGGAAGTGAGTAATGTATTTCTCAGAGCAGGGGTCGCATTTATGAAAGGCTTTGAACATGAAACAGAGCATTTTGTATTTGATCCTGGAAATAATGGAGAGCCACTGCAGTTTATTGAAAGGGATTGACAGTTCCATAGTCAGAGTGGCACTTTCAAAGAAATCATTTTGGTGGTTAAATGGAGGTTGACTTAGCGTAGGTAGAGATTGTAGGCAGGCGGACCCACCAGCAGCTATTGCCATAGTCCCAGGATGAGGTGATGAGGGCCTGAAGCAAAGTGGGAGCAATGTCAAAGGAGAGAAAGGGGTATATTTAGGAGAGAAGGAAGCGAGAGGAGCAGAAGACAG